CTTACTTCCTTAGGTAAGGCTCATCTTAGGCCCTTTTCATTAATCCTTGCTTGTCGAATTTCCTATGTCCCGTCCACAACCTGCACCTGCTCTGCCTCATCTCTGCTCTGGAGACTCAGCCATATGGGCCTTCCTGTCACCTTGGCCAGGAGCCCTGTCCCTTCACCTCGTTAGATAACTGTGTGTCCCTGATCTCTCCACTCAGGCCGCACCCCCTTGGATTTTCCTCTTACAGGATGGTGCCTCTCTCTCTCTCATACCATTTCTTAGATCAAATGTTGGTCCATGTAGGTCTTTCTATGAGACTTGCAAGCTTCTTAGGACAAGAATGTGTGTGTGTGTGTGTGTGTGTGTGTGTGTGTGTGTTTAGCGTGGGATTCACTGTGATTATCCATGGCACCTAGTTTATTATTTATTGTTCACGTTTTCATGATGAACTTAATGTTCCAGAGATGAAGGACTTTTACCTTCCCTCCTGGGGGGTTTGCTGAAAATCATTGACAATAGGTTAATGAGAGAAAGGCAGACAGATTTTTTTCATTTTTTTATATTACATTTAATCACATATATCTTTATAATGTATAACATTTATTTTTCCAGCATGATTACCATGCATCTCAGTCAAGATTGATTAGACATTACTATCTCCATCATCATCAAATAGCCTTTCTTTTTTTTCAGATTATTGTTATTTTTATTCTCATTATTTTTTAAAAATTCAATCATTATACATCATTTGTCTTGTAAAGAGTATTTACCTAACATGAAATACTTCTCAAACCAGTTCAGTAGAGAGTACTATACGTGTTATCATCAACAGGCAATAAACCATTTCCGTGTCCCACAAATGTATTGCCTCTGTATTTTTTCTCATGCTGTCCTTCTCTATACTCTTCCCTTCTTTCCCCCACTCCCATTTCACACTGTCTTCAGTGTCTATAACTATTTACCTCACTTTTATGCCCTCCCATATTTCAATCTCTACCATAGAGTGCAGATAGGATATATTAAGTAAATAGTGAATAGCCTCACTTGCTTCATTCATCATGGTAGTTCAATTTGTAGATCTTTGAGGAACCTCCATATTGTTTTCCACAATGACTGAACCAATTTACATTTCCACCAACAGCGTAGGAGACTTCCCTTTCACCAGAACCCCATCAACACATCACTTTTTGTATTTTTCATCTTTGCCATTCTGACAGGGATAGGGTAGTATCTCATAGTGGTTCTAATCTCCATCTCACTTAACGATGAGGGAGCATTTCCTCATATGCTCTATGGTGGTTCGTATGTCTTCCTTAAAGAGATTTTTGTTCAGCTCATTTTTCCATCTTTTAATTGGGTTCGTCATTTTTTTAAAAATTTTTTTGAGTTCCCTGTGTTTTCTGGCTATCGGTCCCCTATCTGAAGTGTATTTTGCGAAAATATTCTCCCATTCTGAGGGTTGTCTATTCACACTAATTACTGTGTCCTTTGCCATGAAGAAACTTCTTAATCTGATATAGTCCCACTTTTCTATATTAGGGAATATTGCCCATGCTTTGGGAGTCTTATTTAAGAAGTCTTTGCCTACCCCATTGTCTCCCAGAGTTTCCCCAGTGTTTTCCACCAATAGTTTTATAGTTTGAGGTCTTAGGTTCAGATCTTTGGTCCATTTTGAGTTGATTTTTGTTAATGGTGAAAGATTGGGATTTGGTTTCGTCTTCATGGTGGATACCCAGTTTTTCTAGCACCATTTGCTAAAGAGGTTTTCCTTTTCCCAATGGATTGACTGGTATCCTTTGTCAAAAATCAGTTGGCTGTAAACTTTGGAGTTTATTTCTGAGGTCTCTATTCCATTGGTCCACCTGTCTGTTTTTGTACCAATATCATGCTGTTTTGCTTATCACAGCTTTATAGTATATTTTGGGGTCAGGGGGTGATATGCCGCCCACTCTACTCTTCTTGTGCAGAATTGCTTTGTCAATACAAGGTCTTTTATGGTTCCAGACAAATTCTATGATTGTCTTTTCTAGATTTGTGAAGAATGCCTCTGGTATTTTGATTTGAATTGTATTAAATATGTAGAATTGCCGTTTTGATTATATTAATTCTTCCAATCCAGGAACATGGGATGTCCTTCTACTTTTGTGTGTCCATTTCAGTTTTTTTTTTTTATTTTCATAGTTTTCTTTGCAAAGGTGTTTGACTTCCTTAGTTAGTTTTATCCCTAGGTATCTTATACATTTTGTGATTTTGGTAAAAGGGATTCCTTTCTTCAGGTCTACTTTGTTCACCTTGCTTGTATATAGAAGTGTTATAGATTTTTGAATGTTGATTTGGTATCCCAAGACCTTATTGTATTGATTTATTATTTCAAGAAGTTTTTTCATGGAAACCTTTGGGTCTTCTAAGTATATTATCATATGATCTGCAAATAAAGATATTTCAACTCTTCTTTTGCCTATTTGAATGCCTGTTATATTCTCTTTTCTGATTGCATTGGCTGAGACTGCCAGCACTATATCAAAAAGCACTGGAGAAAGTGGGCAGCCTTGTCTAGTACCAGTTTTTAGTGGAAAAGCTTTTAGCTATTCTCCATTCAGTATAATGTTACCTATAGACTTTTCATATATGGCTTTTATTGTGTTGAGAAATGACCCTTCTATAGCAATCTTGCTGAGAGTCTTTATCATGAAGGGATGTTGTATTTTTATCAAATGCTTTCTCTGTATCAATTGAAATTATTATATGGTTTTTATCTTTCTATTAATATGGTGTATTATATTTATTGTCTTGTGTATGTTGAACCACTGGAATAAAGCCTACCTGGACATGATGAATAATCTTTGTTACATATTGTTGGATATAATTTGCAAGTATTTTGTTGGCAATTTTTGCATCTGTATTCATCAGAGATATTGGTCTGTAGTTTTCCTTTTTTGTCATGTCTTTATCTGTTTTGAGAATGAGGATGATAGAGGCTTCATAAAATGAATTTGGAAGATTTTCTTCTTTTTGGATCTTCAGAAATAATTTGAGTAGAATTGGGGTTAACTCTTCCTTAAAAGTTTTGTAGAATTCAGATGTGACGCCATCAGGATCTGGGCTTTTCCTTGTTGAGAAGTTATTCATTACTGACTCAATCTTATGGCTTTGTTACGGGTCTGTTCAGGCTTTCTGTGTCCTCCCAATTCAATTTTGGTAGATTATATGCATCCAGGAATTTGTCCATCTCCTCCATGTTCTCTTGTTTGTTGGCGTTAGTTGCTCATGGTATCTTCTAATAATGTTTTGTATTTCTATTTTATCTGTTGTAATGTTGCCTGTTGCATTACGTATTTGATTTACCTGGTTTCTTTCTTTTTGTCAGTCAAGCTAATGGTGTGTTGATCTTGTTAATCTTTTCAAAGAACCAGCTTTTCCTTTCATTTATATTTCTTTATAGTTTGTTTATTTTCTATTTCATTTATTTCTGCTCAAATCTTTATTAGTTCTTTACATCTGGCATTTATTTTTTGTTGTTCTTGTTTTTCCAATTCCTTGAGGCATGATGTTAGGTTATCTATTTGCCACCTTTCCATCTTTTTCTTATATGCACTAATTGCTATTGATTTCCTTCTTATGACTGTTTTGTGATGTCCCACAGATTATGGAAACTTGTCTACTCATTATCATTTGTTTCCATAAATTGTAAAATTTCAGACTTAATTTCTTTGGTAGTTAAGTTACTCAGAAGTAGGTTGTTTAGTTTCCGTGTGTTTGTATATTTTCGAGAATGCTTCTTGTCCAAAAGGATGCTGGATATAGTTTCTATTGAATCTGTTCTCTAAATCACACACGCTCTAAGCCAATCAGAACCGGTGATTATGGCCTGGTCCCCTGTCAAAATACCCACCAAGCTAGGTATTTTATAACATACAACCCTCAAACAGGAGTAGGTGTATATGTGCATAGAAGTATAAGACAAAATAATATAAAATAATTATTCGCTGTTAGATCAGACCCTGAATGGCCTTTAGATAATTTCCCATCAGAAAATGAGATGGTTGCAGCAACCTTTGGCCAGAATCCTTGGCCAAGACCCTCCCTTATCAGCAGCCGACACCCACAGATGGGCTGATAAGATCACAGTGGCAAGTAAGCTAATCAAACTACCAGCCATTGGAGCCAGTAGATGGCATAATGGTTATGTTGCTGGATCCCCACAGAGTTGACTGTGGTTCAAGTCTCAGACCCAGCAGCTTAAAACTTACACCAGGTATGTGTGCATGCATGCCCAAGATCCCAGGAAGAGAATGGAGAAGGGTTAGCAGCATGGCTACCCCCTCCAGGGGGTGATTTTTCACTTTCTGTCTCTTGGGTGAGTGCATGTGTCCTATTGCAAAAAAACTCTAAAAAAAAAAAGTACCTGCCATTTTTGTGACTCCCAGCCCTCCACCCCTCCTATTATAAAGACATCTGTCTCCTTGGTGGGGTGGGCTGAAGCACCTTTGACTTCAGACTCCTTGGCACTCTTTCTCTCAATAAACTCCTTTCTTCACTTCCTGAGTCTTACTCCAAACCCTAACACTCACCAATGCACCTCAAAGACTCTGACACACTGAGGGGCCTTAAAAATAAAGTCCAGGTTACTTTAACTTTGTCATGTACTGAGAAAGGCTCTCTCTGCTATTTCCTTAAGTGACTGAGGAACCTTTCTAATAGAAAGGCAGTTGTCTTAACCTCTTCCCTAGGAATCTCTTTTTTTTTTTTTGGAGAGTTTTTTTGCGATAGGGCACGTGGGCTCGCCAGACAGACAAAGAGAGACATAGAGACAGAAAGCGAGAAATCACCCCCCAGGGGGGATGGTCACACCGCAATCCCTTCTTCTCCATTCTCCTCTTGGGATCTTAGGCACGCACACACATGTGCCTGGCGTGAGTTTTAAGCCACCGGGTCTGGGACGCGAACCGTGGTCGACTACGTGGGAGTCCAGTGACATAGCCATTACGCTAACTGCTGGTTCCCTTCCCTAGGAATCTCATCAAGCAACCTGAGACAAGGACTAGAGGTCTCTGCACTCAGGACACCTATTCTTCTACAGGGAGCTAAGAAACTTTACCTGTGTAAGACAGCCTTGTCCCTCTGCACTTTCACCCTTTACCCCTGACCTTGCAGTAACTTGCTGGTCCATCCAGTTCCCAAAGAGAATCATTCAGTAACTACTGTCTCAGCAGTGGGTCCATCCACTCCCCCATTTTCCTCTCTCCTACAAAGAAGGCAACGCAAGACTCACCAATCTGGCTCATCTTTGAGTTTATATTTTCTATGCCTCCCTTGCATGGATATACACATTCAGTACATCTGTCCCAGCAGAGGGCCATGCTGGAAGGTGGGCTGCATGTGGCTGCAGGGTTAATGGCTGGGACCTGTGGCTCATCCCCTCCCCCACTTGTCTTTGGGCTTTCAGAGGTTCGGGCAAGCTGCCCCCTAAACCACATTCAGCTCGCCTGGGTTTTCCTGGGCGTCACTCAGCAGGTGACAGTTACCATTTTGCTTTGCTCCAGTCCTGTGCTAGTCCTGGGTGTACTAACTTTTGCATGAGCTCACATTCTGAGAACATACAGTGAAGGCATTTGGGCTGTGCTGTGTACAGTGCAGGGAATGGAGCATGGTGAAGAGACAGGGTGACAACGGGGGCACCAGCAGGGTGGGGTCGAGTAGAGCTGTCCATGGGGAAAGGCAGATCATGCACACCCTGCGTTATGCAAGCCCAGTGGCTGGGAGCAGCTCCTTGGAGAGCTGCCCCCCTGGGCTCTGTGGGGACCTGCGAGAGACCCTGCAGTAGGTCAGGGTCATTGACACAGCCTGGTCTGGGTGCTTGAGACACTAGGGAGAAGTGAAGCTTAGGATGTAAAGCGGATTCTCCCCATGTGGCTTTAATGTTGCAGGGCATTGTGTTTCTGCTGCACAACTGCAGCTGACCTGGACAGATTAAATTCTTAAACTGTGAAATCCCCTTAGAACTGGCCTGAGGCTGGGCAAGGGCGCCTCATGGCCAGGGCATCTAGGAGGTACCAGCAGAGCAGGCAGCTGTGGGTGGGCAGCACCAAGAGACCCGCCCCGCTGGCTCTGTAGATCAGCGTGTCCGTGGGTGAGGTGCCGCCCGGCAGCTGCCCTTTCTTGGCTCCCTTGTCCACAGTGCTTGTTCCTGAAGAGGGTGGCTTGCCAGCCCCTGGCCGCTCAGAGCCAGCAGCTCTGTTCAGATCACAACAGCCCGTTGGGCACTTGTTTCAGCACTCTCTCCTCCCTCCCCAACCCACTGCAGCAGCTAGAAATGGCCAAGAAGCTGGGGCTTCTCCATGCGGCTCCCATGGCGACCCCAGGGATGGGATCTGTGGATGTTGTGTGGAATTGGGACTGCAGTCCTTGGGGCAAGATCAGCCTTACATGTCTCTAGAAGGCCACAGTTCACTATCACCTGGGAAGTTTGCCCCTTTCCCCTCTTCTCAGGGGAAACTTGACAAGACCCTGTCACATTCATTTCTGGCAACTACATCTATTGAGTTGTTGGGAATGTCATGACACTTTTTTTTTTTTTTTTTTTTTTTGAGGGGGTTTTTTTCT